AAAAAAAAAAAGTGTGGTCAACTGATAAACAAGAACTCTTATCAGAATGATGTAATTATTTGTTCATCATCCAAAGTGTTTGGGCCTTTACTTGAAATAGAAACATCACTGCAGGTTTTTTTTTGAAAAAAAAAGGCTAATTATACGCGCACCATACTTTTTGCTTGAAAAAAAAATCTCGCGCACCATACTTTTCTGTGCCGGTCAAATAATAAATTCCGGGTCGGACCAAAAATAATTTTTGCACATTGAACTTTTTTCTTGCGCACCATGCTTTTTTCGCTGGCGCACCATACTTTTTTTCGCTGGCGCACCTTACATTTTTTGGCTGGTGGACCATTCATTTTCCCTAGCGCACCATACGTTTTTTTCGCTGGCGCACCATACTTTTTTTCGCTGGCGCACCATACTTTTTTTCGCTGGCGCACCATACTTTTTTTCGCTGGCGCACCATACTTTTTTTTTGCGCACCACACTTTTTCGCGCACCATACTTTTTTTCGCGCACCACACTTTTTTTTGCTTTATTCTTTTTCTTTTAAACTTTTATTTTAAAATGAATTCAAACGATTCACACCAATCTTTGAGTGAAAGCCAATTGTTAATCAACAGCCTTTTGTCTGTAATTAACCCCGCTGAAGAAGTTAAAGATAGTTTCGAGGAGATCTTCGACAAACAAAACGATGAACAAACCGATGCTGGAGAGAAACTGGCAGATGAGTATGACTGGGAATGTCTTACTGACCCGGAAGATGAGGATATCAGCGTCAAAGCTACACGAGATGTTCCTTCATTTGCTGAGACTGTCCAGCCGAATGAACGTGTCATTGAGGTAAAGGCTGCTTTTATAGCCGAATTTCCAGTTGGAAAAACATTCTTGGACAAGGAAGCTGCAAGACTTCAAATACAGTCTTTTGGTATGACCAAGAATATCCCTTTTGAGACTCTCAAAAGCGACAAATCTTACATCAAGTTGATTTGTAAGCATTTTGGTAACTAACGTTCTGCCAGAAAGGGTGAAGGTAATTGTAACCATAATCTGGCATAGAGTGGAATATTAATTCTGTAAATTGTTTTCGAAAATAGATGCAGAAGATGCAGGAAATGATGAAGGATTAGAGAGTGGGGTTCAACGACCTAACAGAACCACTGGACGAACAGGATGCTCCGCATTTGTTTATGTCCGTAAGGATGCGAGAGCTATCGGTCAGCCATGGACAATTCGATCCAGCTGTTTCGAGCACAATCACCCTTTGAGTGAGGATAGAAGGGTGTATCATAACAACAGAAAGCTCGAGGCCGAAGATCAAGAACTCGCAATTAGTCTCATGCGTGCAGGAACAACACCAAGTGAAACTTTAAAGGTAAGGTTGAAAGTTGATATGGAGAAATTAATCGTTAGTAGAGCTGTAATCATAATAAAAGTTATTGTTTTGCCTATAATCTTTATAATGTCTTTATATGCCCCCTTTTTATGCCTTTTAATAACACTAACACGCTGGTAAATAGATTCTTGAGACAAGAGGTGTCAATAACTTAATTGTCACGGATTTGACTAATATCCAACAACAATTTTGTCGGGATAACCACACTAACATGTGGAACTTTATTAAAAACCTCGAGTCCAGTGGCCATCAGGTTCGTTACATGACAGATAACGATGAAAGAATTTGTTGTGTGTTTTTTATACACCAACATGGCATTGACGAGGCCAGAAAGCTTTCGGAGTGTATTGTAATCGATGCAACATACAAGACCAACTCCCACAAAATGGTCTTGTTAAATTTCGTTGTAGCTGGTACTTTGCGTTCCAAAGAAAAGCCCAAGCAATTGACAACGGTACCTATTGCAGGATGCTGGATGGATCGTGAAACAGGTGATCGATACCGATGGGCTTTAAAATGCTTTCGTGAGATTGTTTGGCCCGTTGGTGGAAGCACGGAGGACTTAATAAAGTGCTTTGTAACTGATAATGACGAAGCCTTATTAGGAGCAATCAAGTCTGTATTCCCTGACAGCAAACAAATTTTATGCTGGATCCATGTGCAGAGAAATTTTATTTTGAGATTTAAAAAAAATCTGTCAAAGGAGAAGAGACAGGACAGTATGTAGGAATAATAGAAAGAAGTAAATATGTCCCTATCAATTTTCATCTAAGCATAATAACATAGGAAACGTTCTGGAAGTGGAAGTTAAGTCATTCATGGCCATCGTAAAGAAAATGGCTTTGACATGTGCAACAAAAGCCGAATTTTTAAATGCCAAAGATGAATACGAGGCTTTTGTGTCCACGAAGGGTATGTGTATTCAAGGTGGTGCCCAGACATTAATTAAATACCTTCACTAGTAAGCATTTATTTTTCCTATAACATATTTGTCTAAATTAAATTACGTACTTCGTTTATTAACTCGAACATATAGCATGATGCTCAAAAAGCAATATTGGGTTGGATATTATGTCAACAATTTTATGCATATGGGTAATCGAACATCAAATAGAGTCGAGTCTACACATGCAAACATCAAAAGAAGTAACAACACTTCGTCTGGTAGCATGGCTGTTGTTACAGAAAAAATTGATCTGTGGATTAAAAAAAGAGTACGTAATAGCTGAACCACAGTTTATATTTTGTTTACAATTCTAAAAAAAATCTGTTTTCTAGGAAGACTACCGCAACTTACAGTCAATCAAATAATCCGTCTCTCAACGACCAGTTTTTTTAGAACATGATATCATGGATAAACTTTCCTTGATAAAATTGAATGTTTCCAGCTTTGCTTTCGAAAACATCAAGAATGAGTTGATGGAAATGAAAGCTTCCGAGGAAAACCCTGTCCACGTAAGCCATGTCTTATCTGGTGGGAGCTGCCTCTGTAAGCTTAGAAGAAATTTTAGGCTTCCATGCAGACACATCCTTGCTGTCTCGTTTATCGAAGGAAAAATTCCATTAAACGTGATTCACCAAAGATGGAGAATCTCATATTTTGAGGGCAGCGGTAAAAATTCAATGTCTTACAAATTTTATTATCCTTCTTAAAACTAAACTAATAATAATGTACTTCATAGTTGCTACCGTGGCCGAAGTTTCTGCCGAATTGGCTAAAGGTTCTCCGGACGAATTGGATATCAATACAACAGAAATCCAATTAAGACTGGAAAAATTGATGTCTTTGTGCAAGGTTTTGGGGAGCCAACAAGAATCCGTTGATCTCATAAAGGACATGGATGCTTTGATCAGTAAGTATTCAAACGATCGTTTAGAAAACACTCTCGCACCAAAAATTGTCGAAATACAGAAGGGTCGTCCTAAAGGCACCAAAAGAAACAAGCTTGGTGTGGAGCACGAAGACGAAAAAATATCTAGCGAGCAAAAAAATGCGAAAAAAAATAAGCAAGAACAAAAAAAAGTAGAAAACAACAAAACCCAAAAAAATAAACCAAGTCTTCGTGAGCCATCGACAACAGCCATCAATAAGCTCAGATCAAAGTAAATTTATACCCTGCTTAATATTTCACGGTATTAATATCTGTATTTTTTTAGATACAAACCATCTGAAGTAGTAACACGCGACTCTGACAATAGCAATCTATTCAAGATGCTAGATAGTCAGTATGCCAACGATGTTCTCGGATTTGTTAATCCCACTCCCGATGGCAATTGTGGATTTCGCGCTGTCAGTGCTGCTGTTTTTGGACACGAAGAAGCCTGGATCCAGGTCAAAAAAATGATGTTAGCTACTTTTTTAAAGTATGCTAACTCCATTTATGACAGCTACGGTTTAAACGAAGCCTACATAACAACAAAACTTCAGTCAACAAAAGCGCCATGTCTTGACAATTTGAATCTTTGGTTTGATTGTTATGGCTGCCCTCAAATAGTTGCTGATACGTTTAGACGACCCGTAATCTTGCATGCAACAACGCCAAAAACGGACAAATACGATAATCTGTGGAGGGATGATGACGGAAACGTCATTTATACCAAGGATGCAATAACTTTTGTGCCATTTCTTGGTTTAGATTTGGAGAAAATGAATGAACCTATTGTTCTTTTTTTTATTAACAGTCATTTCTATATGATTGAGCCCATCGTTGACTCCAAAACCAAGAAAGCCATTATCCCAAAAAAATGGCCAACCATCAATTTCTCTCATCAAAAAATATTCAATGCGCACCGGGACATCTGTGTTAACGACGTATCTGAATATTATCAAAATAACTAAATCTTTTTTTTTTTTTTTACCTATCACTTATCCTTATTATACTTATTCTTATCACATTTATCCTTAAAATTATAAAAAAATAAAATAAAAAACTTAGACAAATAAACATGAGATTGAACTCAAAAGCACAGTAGGAACAGTGATGGAATTGTTTAAACTATTTAACATCATGTTTGCATCCATTATGTGTGAGAAAAAGTATGGTGCGCGAAAAAGTGTGGTGCGCCAGCAAAAAAAGTATGGTGCGCCAGCGAAAAAAAGTATGGTCTGCCAGCGCTAGAAAAAAATTCATGTGCAAAAATTATTTTTGGTCCGACCCGGAATTTATTATTTGACCGGCACAGAAAAGTATGGTGCGCGAAATTTTTTTTTCAAGCAAAAAGTATGGTGCGCGTATAATTAGCCAAAAAAAAAAAGAAAAAAAAAAAAAAAAAAAAAGACGCCCACGCCCTATTTCATGCCTCGCTATTTTGATTGCTCTCTTCTTCTTTTATTTAAACCTCTTTTTTAAGAAATTGACATGGGTAAGTTTTGCTTTTTTACTTCGAATGTTGTATCGTTCTTAATTATTAGATTTTAGACCATAACTCATCTAAACATACCTATGACCAAGCCTTTTTATATGCCATGGGAGAAACCCACAGAAACGGTCAATCAAAGAAACACGCATTGATGTTTGCTGATTTTTAAGATTTTGTACCTGTTGCAGTGACCGATGAAGATGGTAATGAGATAGACATTAATTTATCCTCAAGCCATATAGAACAGTTCCAGACCATGCTTTCAAAACCAACACCACCCACTCTAAGGCATCCAACTCAATATGTATCTCCCAAAACCACGTTTCGGACTTGTGATACTGTCAACAGCATCGATGAAATCGGAGCCTATTCCCCATATTTAGCAAACGCCAATACACTAAATTGACCAAGGATATGATCGAACTACTCAACCAAAACTGGGAAATCAAGCCAAGCCAACATTTTACTGCGACAAAAGCGCTAATCGGGTCTGTAATCATCGATACTGAAAATAATTACGGTCTCCTTATTTTGATATTCGAAGTATATGGTCGTGACCCTGACATCGATAGCCACGCTGAACAACGTAGCTCTACTGGTTCAACAAGGCAAACGACATCTGTACCGTCTGTAGGCCAGAATGATTTTGAGATTTTTACCATGCGCCAAACCGAAGGCAGCAACATTTCAATTAAACTTATACTTGGTACCCACTCTTTCAACGCCCTTAAGACTGCTATTACACGTAATGACAACTTGGTATATCAGCCGGAATGCGCCCCCAATACTGTCAATTTCGGTGTGTCTCCTTAATCCCATTTGAAGTACAAGTTGTATCTTGATTCAGAATCATAGTCTGATTCTTTAGCGCTTAAAAAAAGACTAACTTGCAGTCCATTTATAATCATTCCCGGCTCATGCAACTTCGCCAGCTCAGAACTCGTTTCCACAAAATTGACGCCTATTCTGCTTCACGATCCGCATTATTTCATGGTTACTTACAGTAACCCATGACGTTATTTATATATGGCAAGAGCACGACATCTATCCATTCCGGGGTACTATCATCAAGGTTGTTAGCTATGTTAGCTACGTCAGTTATGAAGGATGGTGAAAATGCTCGTCTAGGAAAAAACCAACGTCGAAAACTTGCTATCAGAATTTAACATGGAAATGAAGGCTAATCGTGTTATTCTATGGGTACTTGAACTTTTTGGAGACAGTGGATGACTCCCAGAATCGCTTGGGGAGTTTTTGCAAGTATTTCTATTTTAAGTAAAGGCCCAGACATTATGAAAGATGAAACAAGCAATTAAATCACTCTGACATAAGCTCTTGTTTATCAGCCTACAAACAAAGCTGGTTCCCACACTTTACTCTTTTCTTTTCCCTTAACATATTTATTCCATCGTTTATGAAAGTTACTGATAACGTACAAAGGTTAGTAAGTAATCACTCTTGTTTCTTTCAAAAGACGCTAAATCAAAAAAGAAATATTGCAAAATTGCAGCTGCGGCTAGTCTTTGCAATAGGTGGGCGAACTCCTTAGTAGGGCGCTTGAGTTTTTCTGGAAATCACGGGATGTGAATTACGGTGTTTTTACTGTGAATTACAGTGTTTTCACATTGAATAGTATTGTTACTGGACTGCTGGTCTGGACCAGAATTGATGTAAGTGGTGTATATATATATATATATATAAACATACAGAGACCTAGACATTTCCCTCTAAAACTTAGTTTTCTTAACAGGATTCTGGTATCTTTTAAGACGGCAGGCTAGTTTTATTAGACCGACACTAGTCCAACGTCTTGACGTGATTTTACAAGTTGACATGGGTAATTTTTGCTTTTTTTTTACTTCGATTGTCGTTTCGTTCTTAATTATTATATTTTAGACAATAACAAAACTCAACGTGGCTACTTCTTATTTTGGCATTGGAAGTTTATGATCATGTTCATGATATCGATAGCCACGCAAAACAACGTAGCTCCATTGGTTCCACTCCCCAATCCACATCTGTCCCGTCTTTAGGTCATAATGATTCTGTAATATGTACCATGCGCCAAATCGAAGGAAGTAATGTTTCCATCAAGCTTACACTTGGTACCCACTCTTTCAACGCCCTTGGGACTGCTAGTACACGTATTGACAACTTGGTTGATCATCCGGAATGCGGACCGTGAAAGCACTGTACCGTCTGCTGCGCAAATTTTTTTTCTCATATTACGTTAAAAAAACAAAGACGCCTATCCTCTCGCCCCGCCCTATTTAATGCCTCGCTATTTTGTCTGCTCTCTTCTGCTTTTATCCATCTTTTTTTAACAAATTGACATGGGCAAGTTTTGCTTTTTTAATCCGAAAGTTGTATCGTTCTTAATTATCATATTTTAGACCATAACAAATCACAACGCACATACGATCAAGCCTTTTTGTTTGCCATGGGCGAAACAAATCGTACAAGTAACTCAAAAAAACGGGCATTAATGTTTGCAGATTTTTACGATGTTGTTCCTGTTGCAGTAAATGATGAAGATGGTAATGAGTTAGACGTCAATTTATCCTCAAGCCATATAGAACAGTTCCAGACCATGCTTTCAAAACCAACACCACTCACTGTAAGGCGTCCAATTCAAGATGTATCTCCCAAAACCATTTTTCGAACTTGTAGTACTGTCAACAGCATCGGTAAATTCGGAGCCTATTCCCAATACTTAAGCAAGCGCCACTACACTGAATTGGCCAAGGACATGATCGAACTACTCAACCAAGACATCAAGCCAAGCCAACGGTTTATTACAGCAAGAGCACTCATCGGATCAGTCATAATTGATTCTGAAAACAATCGTGGTCTCCTTATTTTAGCTTTGGAAGTATATGGTCGTGACCCTGACATTGACAGCCACTCTGAACAACGTAGCTCTACTGGTTTAACAAGGCTAACGACATCTGTACCGTCTGTAGGCCAAAATGATTTTGAGATTTTTACCATGCGCCAAACCGAAGGCAGCAATATTTCAATTAAACTTATACTTGGTACCCACTCTTTCAACGCCCTGATTACTGCTAGTACACGCATTGACAACTTGGTTGATCATCCGGAATGCGGACCGTGAAAGCACTGTACCGTCTGCTGCGCAAAGTTTTTTTTTCTCATATTACGTAAAAAAACAAAGACGCCTGCTCCTCACCCACGCCCTATTTAATGCCTCGCTATTTTGTCTGCTCTCTTCTGCTTTTATCCATCTTTTTTTAAGAAATTGACATGGGTAAGTTTTGCTTTTTTAATCCGAAAGTTGTATCGTTCTTAATTATTATATTTTAGACCATAACAAATCACAACGCACATACGATCAAGCCTTTTTGTTTGCCATGGGCGAAACAAATCGTACAAGTAACTCAAAAAAACGGGCATTAATGTTTGCAGATTTTTACGATGTTGTTCCTGTTGCAGTAAATGATGAAGATGGTAATGAGGTAGACGTGATTTTATCCCCAAGCCACGTCGAAAAGTTCCAGAACATGCTTGCTAAACCAACCTCACTCACTGTAAGTCGTCCTGTCCAAGAAGCATCTCCTCAAACCATGTTTCCAACTCTCGATACAGTCAACAGCAATTGGTGAATTTGGAGCATATTCCGGTTACTTAACGAAACGCCATTACACTGAATTAAATAAGGAAATGATCGAAATGCTTAACCAAGACTGGGAGATCAAGCCAAGCCAACGGTTTATTACAGCAAGAGCACTCATCGGATCAGTCATAATTGATTCTGAAAACAATCGTGGTCTCCTTATTTTAGCTTTAGAAGTATATGGTCGTGACCCGGACATTGACAGCCACGCTGAACAACGCAGCTCCACTGGTTCCACTAGGCAATCGACATCCGTACCGTCTGTAGGCCAGAATGACTTTGAAATTTTCACTACGCGCCAAACCGAAGGCAGCAATATTTCAATTAAACTTATACTTGATACCCACTCGTTCAACGCCCTTGTCACTGCTAGTACACGGATCGACAACTTGGTGGATCAACCTGAATGCGGGCCAAACACTGTCAATTTCGGTGTGTCTCCTAACTCCCACTTAAAGTACAAGTTTGTATCTTGACTCGGAATCATGGTCTGACTCTCTAGCGCTTGAAAAAAAGACTAATTTGCAGTCCATCTATACTCATTCCCGGCTTATGCAACTTCGCCAGCTCAGAACTCGCTTCGATAAACTTTACACGTATTCTGCTTCCCGATCCGCATTGTTTCATGGTTATCTGCAGCAACCAATGACTGTGTTTACATATGGCAAGAATACAACATCCATCAATTCAGGGTCACTATCATCAAGGTTCTTAACTATGTTAGCTACGTCTGTTATGAGGGATGGTCAGAATGCTCATCTTGGAAAAGTCAATGTCGAAAACTTGCTTACAAAATTTAATAAGGAAACGAAGGCTAAGCGTGTCATTCAACGGGTACTGCAACTTTTTGGAGACAGTGATTCTATTTCTATCATTGAAAATACTGACCTGACGGACGATGTTAGTGATACTTGTTTGCGTTTGTTTAATAGATATGCTTCTTCCAAGTTCCCTTCGTGGCTGGCAACTGTATATAACAATCCTGCGATACGCCCAGTGTCTTACGTAACCGACAGCCAGTTCTCGCTTATCGAGTTGATGGATCTTGATACTTTGGACGCTAATTTTCTGCGGTGGTCGAAGGTGCTGCACCACGTGACTATTCTGGATGGGAAGACGAAACATGGACACCTAGAACAAAAGCCAGCAACTTGACGCATGCATTGGAATGGAAAGCAGCACCAAACACTGCTCAGAAAACTGCGTTGGTGCATAAACATGGAACCCGGTGGTCACAATTGCACTTGCTGGAGTATTTTAATCCTGTGGATTTTACAGTGATTAATCCAATGCATAATCTGTACCTCGGTACATGTAAGAGGATCATGGTCAACATGTGGATTCCGGATAAGGATATTGTACTGGCCGACCGTGAGCGCATGTTGATATATACACACTAAATATCCAGCCTATAATCTACTTGAAATTTTATAGCAAACCAGCACTGAAACATAAACCATTAACTGATCAAGATATTAATGTCTACTTCCAATCCACGCTCCCATCTGATCTTCCGGGATAACAATTTATTTCAATCCTTCCTTATAAAAAGGATCCCCTTTTCCATTCAATAAAAAGATATCTAGTTTTGGTCTCAAATAATTTAACCGTTTATTTCTTGGAATATTTCATTTTTTTATTTGAATTCTTGTATGTTATCTTTTTATTAATTTTTTTTTATGTCTACAACCGACCCTACTGTTTCCAATACCGATTGTACCCCTACTCTTGCTCCTGCTACTTCTATGATGAACCCTGCCACTGGAGGGCTTCAAGGCATTTGTGACCAAGGCGATACAATGATGAAAGACTGTACGTCTACAGCAATTGGTGCTAATGATTCCCAAAACGCTTTGTATTGCTTGTACGATTCTGGTGCTCCTGAATCACCTATCACTGCTCCTCACATGCAGGAACTTACACAACGTGCCATGCACATAAGAAATAATCAATTTGATGTTCATCAACATCCTTCCTCTCAACGTTCGCCTCCCAGGAGCCACATTGACTAAGCTCATACTCTTACGTCTCCTTTCGTCCAAGATGAGGACGTTTCATCTCCCCAATTAGTCCACAATAAGTCTAACATTACCATTAATAATGAGCCCGCTCCTCTCAACGATTCTACAAATTCTATCATTATTCCTGTCACTATTCAGGGCTATAAATGTTGGGCCTACGTCGCCTCTGGTTCCAATTTCTCCTCTCTAAAGCCTTCTTTAGCTTCCCAATTGGGCCTGACACCCTCCTTACCAAAACTCATTATACTACATACGACATCTTTGTCACAATCTAAAAGTCATACTATTTCTTTGGGCGATGCTAATAGCTCCATCGAGCGTATCGATTTTATTGATAACGTTCATCTATTCTATAATAATCTTAACATCCATCATACCTTCGAAGTTTTTAATCTGAACAGTGAAGCTGATGTTTGCATTGGCACCGACCTTATGTCTAAAATGAACATTAACATTACTGGGCTCACTACTACATGGGACGAAAATAGTTTACCTACAATCGAGGACCCTATTGACCCATTACCCAACACACCTACATACGAATATTACGGTTCTATCACAGAACGATCCACATTCTTACAATCACTGGAGATCGTATTACATTCTAATGCTTCCATCGATCCTAAATCGGTTTGTACAGTACCTAACTCGGAAGTTACACTCCATTTCCCTGAGAACACAGTCATCTTCCGTAAACAATATCCATTACCCTTAGCCTATAAGTCTAAACTAAACGAACAAATTGAGGCTTGGCTCGAGGAAGAAACTATTACTTTAGCCGACGCTAACACACCTCATAATAATCCCATTCTTTTCGCAAAGAAGCGAGACATTGCAGGTAATTACGGCTCTGAAGTCAGAATCTGTGCCGACATGCGATTCCTCAATCAGCATCTCATCGCCTCTAAATCTGATGCGTTCAGCTTACCTCGCATAGATGAGATCCATGAACAATTATCACATTGCTCCATTTTTACAGTTCTTGATTTAAAAAGCTGCTTTACTCGTTTTGCCATTGCTAAAGAATCCCAGCCATTCACAGCCTTCACCACACACACGGGACAATACGTCTTTCGAAAATGTTGTTTCGGCATAAAAACAGTACCATCATTTGTTCAGCGCATTATTTCCAATCTCTTTCGTGATTTGCCTACAGTCTTTGCCTACATTGATGATATCACAATCGGTACCCACACAACTGATCTAGTCGCACACGCCACTCTCGTCAAAGAGGTCATTACTCGACTGAATCAAGCAGGTCTAATTCTCCAATCCAAAAAATGCCATTTTCTCCTCACATCTTTAACCTTGCTGGGCTTCCGTCTCAGTTCCAAAGGTCTCCAGATCGACAGCAGTAAAATTTGTAACCTGGATCAACTTCCACCGATTACCAACAACAAAGCTCTTATGCGAGTACTTGGATTGTTTAATTTTTTTCGACGACACATTCCTAATTACGCTTCTATATCCGCTCCATTGGATAAGCTTCGTAGCATTAGTGACAAACGGATCTTTGCACAGACATGGAACTCCACTCACGACTCAGCCTACACCGCTTTAAAATATGCTATCACGCATGCTCCGGTCATTTCAGTCATGGATACATCCTTACCCCTGCGTGTCAACACGGATGCCAGTAACTATGCTATTGGTGGCTTCGTATGGCAGCTTGATCGACAGAATATTGTTCGCTTCCTCGGTTTCGCTTCACGGTCCAAAACATCTAGTGAACGTAACTACAGCGTCAATAAATCTGAATGCCTCGCCATCACCTATATGTTTCAACGCCATCACTCATGGCTACGTTTAACTCCCTTTCTCCTCTTCACGGACCATTACAGCCTCACGTTCCTTCATTCTCAATGATACTGTTCACCTCTACTTCAGAACTGGTACACCACCATCTACTCTAAGAACTTTGAAATCGTTTACATTCGAGGATCGGAAATTTTCTTGCTGACATGCTCAGTCGTCTATTCGCTTCCCCAGAAGTTGAAAGTCAGATGGACAATCACGCTGAAGCTAAACAAGCTAAGTTATTTAACAAACAACATCACACAAAACAGAGAGAAATCCACCCAATTTTCTTTTACGTCACACGACGACAACGAATCCAATCGCATTCTTGTACAACGCGCATCGGAACTAGCCGACCCTGCGGTGCCTCCGCCTGATCAACGTCGTGCTATCATCGAACGTCACCATCTCAAGGGACATTTTGGCACCAATGCTATCGAATCCGCCATACGCGACGAACATATTAACTGGGTGAACTTACGAAAAGACATTATCGAAGTTGTAGGTGATGTCTAACTTGCCTTGCCTTCAATTGGTCGAAAACCGGATACCATCCTCCTAAACAAATATTACCCACTGCACCAGGCCATCATGCGCTCTGTGATTGAGGTACACTTAATATCACATCCGACGCCAGCAATAACTTCATCGATCTCTTCACACGTTTCACAATCCTTCGTGCCTTGCCTGACAAGGAAGCATCTACCATCGTGAAAAAAAAAAGACGTCCCGCCCCCGCTATTTTTTTTTGCTCTCTTCTTCTTTAAACAACTTTTTTTTTAAAAAATTGGCATGGGTAAGTTTTGCATCTCTAGTTCGAAAGTTGTTTCGTTCTTAATTATTATGTTTTAGACCACAACCCATCTCAGCATACTTGCAACCAAGTCTTTTTACATGCCCTGGGAAAAACGAACTGAAGTGGTCAATCAAAGAAACACGCATTGACGTTTGGCGTTTTTTTAGATGTTGTACCTGTTGCAGTGACCGATGAAGAAGGAAATGAGTTAGACTTCATTTTATCCCCGAGCCATGTAGAAAAGTTCTAGGCCATGCTTTCGAAACCAACACCACTCACAGTAAGGCGTCGAGTTCAAGAGTCATCTCCCCAAACCATGTTTCGAACTTGTGATACTGTCAACAGCATCGGTGAATTTGAAGCCTATTCCCAATACTTAATCAAACGCCACTACACTGAATTGACCAAGGACATGATCGAACTGCTTAATCAAGACTGAGAGTTCAAGCCAAGCCAACGATTTATCGCAGCAAGAGCATTGATAGGATCGGTAATCATCGATACTGAAAACCATTGTGGTCTCTTAATTTTAGCTTTGGAAGTATATGGTCGTGACCCTGACATTGACAGCCACGCAGAACAACGCAGCTCCACTGGTTCCGCTCTCCAATCGACACCTGTACCGTCTGTAGGCCATAATGATTTCGAGATATGTACCATGCGCCAAACCGAAGGCAGCAATATTTCAATTAAACTTATACTTGGTACCCACTCTTTCAACGCCCTGATTACTGCTAGTACACGTATTGACAACTTGGTTGATCATCCGGAATGCGGACCGTGAAAGCACTGTACCGTCTGCTGCGCAAAGTTTTTTTTTCTCATATTACGTAAAAAAACAAAGACGCCTGCTCCTCACCCACGCCCTATTTAATGCCTCGCTATTTTGATTGCTCTCTTCTTCTTTTATCCATCTTTTTATAAGAAATTGACATGGGTAAGTTTTGCTTTTTTACTTTGAATGTTGTATCGTTCTTAATTATTAGATTTTAGACCACAACCCATCTCAACATACATACCATTAGGCCTTCTTGTATGCAATAGGAGAAACCAACAAAAACGGTCAATCAAAGAAACGCGCACTGATGTTTGCTGATTTTTAAGATTTTGTACCTGTTGCAGTAACCGATGAAGATGGTAATGAGATAGACATCAATTTATCCTCAAGCCATATAGAACAGTTCCAGACCATGCTTTCAAAACCAACACCACCCACTCTAAGGCATCCAACTCAATATGTATCTCCCAAAACCACGTTTCGGACTTGTGATACTGTCAACAGCATCGATGAAATCGGAGCCTATTTCCCATATTTAAGCAATAACGCCAATACACTAAATTGACCAAGGATATGATCGAACTACTCAACCAAAACTGGGAAATCAAGCCAAGCCAACATTTTACTGCGACAAAAGTGCTAATCGGGTCTGTAATCATCGATACTGAAAATAATTACGGTCTCCTTATTTTGATATTTGGAGTATATGGTCGTGACCCTGACATCGATAGCCACGCTGAACAACGTAGCTCTACTGGTTCAACAAGGCAAACGACATCTGTACCGTCTGTAGGCCAGAATGATTTTGAGATTTTTACCATGCGCCAAACCGAAGGCAGCAACATTTCAATTGAACTTATACTTGGTACCCACTCTTTCAACGCCCTTGTGATTGCTAGTACACGTATTGACAACTTGGTTGATCATCCGGAATGCGGACCGTGAAAGCACTGTACCGTCTGCTGCGCAAAGTTGTTTTTTCTCATATTACGTAAAAAAACAAAGACGCCTGTCCTCTCGCCCCCTCCCTATTTAATGCCTCGCTATTTTGTCTGCTCTCTTCTTCTCTTATCCATCTTTTTTTAAGAAATTGACATGGGTAAGTTTTGTTTTTTTACTTTGAATGTTGTATCGTTCTTAATCACTAGATTTTAGACCACAAGCCATCTCAACATACATACAATTAGGCCTTCTGGTAAGCAATAGGAGAAACCAACACCACTCACTGTAAGTCGTGCTGTTCAAGAGGCATCTCCTCAAACAATGTTTCCAACTCGCGATACAGTCAACAGCATTGGTGAATTTGGAGCATATTCCCGATACTTAACCAAACGCCACTGCACTGAATTGACTAAGGAAATGATCGAACTACTCAACCATGACATCAAGCCAAGCCAACGTTTCATCACAGCAAGAGCACTAATCGGATCAGTAATAATTGAGAAGTATATGGCCGTGACCCTGACATTGAAAGCCACGCAGAAAAACGCAGCTCCACTGGTTCCACTTTCCAATCGACATCTGTACCGTCTGTAGGCCAGAATGACTTTGAAATTTTCACCATGCGCCAAACCGAAGGCCGCAATATATCCATCAAGCTTATACTGGGTACCCACTCGTTCAACGCCCTTGTCACTGCTAGTACACGGATCAACAACTTGGTGGATCAACCTGAATGCGGCCCAATACTGTCAATTTCGGTGTGTCGCCTCAATCCCATTTGAAGTACAAGTTATATCTTGACTCCGAATCATGGTTCGACTCTCTGGCACTTGAAAAAAAGACTAATTTGCAGTCTATTTACACGCATTCCCGGCTCATGTAACTTCGCCAGCTAAGAACTCGCTTCCATAAACTTGACACGTATTCTGCTTCGCGATCCGCATTATTTCATGGTTACTTACAGTAACCCATGACTGTATTTATATATGGCAAGAGCACGACATCTATCCATTCCGGGGTACTATCATCAAGGTTGTTAGCTATGTTAGCTACGTCAGTTATGAAGGATGGTGAAAATACTCGTCTAGGAAAAACCAACGTCGAAAACTTGCTATCAGAATTTAACATGGAAATGAATGCTAATCGTGTTATTCTATGGGTACTTGAACTTTTTGGAGACAGTGGATGACTCCCAGAATCGCTTGGGGAGTTTTTGCAAGTATTTCTATTTTAAGTAAAGGCCCAGACATTATGAAAGATGAAACAAGCAATTAAATCACTCTGACATAAGCTCTTGTTTATCAGCCTACAAACAAAGCCGGTTCCCACACTTTATTCTTTTCTTTTTTTTCCACTTAACACATGTATTCCACCGTTTATAAAAGTTATTGATAACGTACAAAGGTAAGTAAGTAATCACTCTTGTTTCTTTCAAAAGACGCTAAATCAAAAAAGAAATATTGAAAAATTGCAGCTGCGGCTAGTCTTTGCCATAGGTGGGCGAACTCCTTAGTAGGGCGCTTGAGTTTTTCTGGAACTCACGGGATGTGAATTACGGTGTTTTTACTGTGAATTACAGTGTTTTCACATTGAATAGTATTGTTACTGGACTGCTGTTCTGGACCAGAATTGATGTAAGTGGTGTGTATATATATATATAAACATACAGAGACCTAGACATTTCCCTCTAAAACTTAGTTTTCTTAACAGGATTCTGGTATTTTTTAAGACGGCAGGCTAGTTTTATTAGACCGACACTAGTCCAACGTCTTGACGTGATTTTTATAAGTTGACATGGGTAATTTTTGCTTTTTTTTTACTTCGATTGTCGTTTCGTTCTTAATTATTATATTTTAGACAATAACAAAACTCAACGTGGCTACCTCTTATTTTGGCATTGGAAGTTTATGATCATGTTCATGATATCGATAGCCACGCAAAACAACGTAGCTCCATTGGTTCCACTCCCCAATCCACATCTGTCCCGTCTTTAGGTCATAATGATTCTGTAATATGTTCCATGCGCCAAATCGAAGGAAGTAATGTTTCCATCAAGCTTACACTTGGTACCCACTCTTTCAACGCCCTTGGGGCTGCTAATACACGTATTGACAACTTGGTTGATCATCCGGAATGCGGACCGTGAAAGCACTGTACCGTCTGCTGCGCAAAGTTTTTTTTTCTCATATTACGTAAAAAAACAAAGACGCCTGTCCTCTCGCCCCCTCCCTATTTAATGCCTCGCTATTTTGTCTGCTCTCTTCTTCTCTTATCCATCTTTTTTTAAGAAATTGACATGGGTAAGTTTTGCTTTTTTAATCCGAAAGTTGTATCGTTCTTAATTATCATATTTTAGACCATAACAAATCACAACGCACATACGATCAAGCCTTTTTGTTTGCCATGGGCGAAACAAATCGTACAAGTAACTCAAAAAAACGGGCATTAATGTTTGCAGATTTTTACGATGTTGTTCCTGTTGCAGTAAATGATGAAGATGGTAATGAGTTAGACGTCAATTTATCCTCAAGCCATATAGAACAGTTCCAGACCATGCTTTCAAAACCAATACCACTCACAGTAAGGCTTCCAGTTCAAGAGGCACCTCCCCAAACCATGTTACCAACTCGCGATACAGTCAACAGCATCGGTGAATTTGGAGCCTATTCTTCATACTTAAACAAACACGGTTACACTGAATTAACCAAGGATATGATCGAACTGCTAAATCAAGACTGGGAGATCAAGCCAAGTCAACGGTTCATCGCAGCAAGAGCATTAATCGGATCGGTAATCATTGGTACTGAAAACCATCGTGGTCTTCTAGGTTAAGCTTTAGAAGTATATTGCCGTGACCCTGACATCGATAGACACGCTGAACAACGTGGCTCCACTGGTTCAGCACGACAAACGATATCTGTATCGTCTGTAGGGCAAAATGATTTTGAAATTTCCACCATGCGCCAAGCCGAAGGCTGCAATATATCCATCAAGCTTATACTGGGTGCCCACTCGTTTAACGCCCTTGTCACTGCTAGTACACGGATCGACAACTTGGTGGATCAACCTGAATGCGGGCCAAACACTGTCAATTTCGGTGTGTCTCCTAACTCCCACTTAAAGTACAAGTTGTATCTTGACTCGGAATCATGGTCTGACTCTCTAGCGCTTGAAAAAAAGACTAATTTGCAGTCCATCTATACTCATTCCCGGCTTATGCAACTTCGCCAGCTCAGAACTCGCTTTGATAAACTTGACACGTACTCTGCTTCCCGATCCGCATTGTTTCATGGTTATCTGCAGCAACCAATGACTTTTTTTACATATGGCAAGAATACGACATCCATCAATTCAGGCGCACTATCATCAAGGTTCTTAGCTATGTTAGCTACGTCTGTTATGAGGGATGGTCAGAATGCTCATCTTAGACAAGTCATTGTCGAAAACTTGCTTACAGAATTTAATAAGGAAACGAAGGCCAAGCGTGTTATTAACGACTAAAATGTTGATAGTAATATTAGAAGCAGCAAAATCTAGAAGCAGCAGAAGAAATGGCAAAGCTAGCATCACCTATGTAGTATTGAATGAAAGATAACAACCACAGCTCTTTGGTAAACGCATGCTATCATCGACCACGGTCAGCTCAAATTCTTCAACGATGTATATTCACCTTTACACCTTCCATGATAGAAAGAAAACTCCCATAGGTTTTATAGTTCAATGCTTTCTTTTCTTTTCTTTCAGTCGATCCAAATTATCAGCTCATGTTTTCAAATTAGCACCTTAAATAACATTACATAAATATCTTGCAAGACAGAATCAAAAAGTTGAACTGGTAGTAATTCAAACACTCTATCTCTCTATCTCTCTATCTCAATAAACCAAGATGGCGACCGTGTGATACTGAGTTCGTCATAAGCTCAACGCGACTTTCCGGATCATCATATTTGGTGTAAAGGCGATAATATTAGATGGCCGCATTTAGTTTGATCATAATCTTGAGTAGTAAGTGGTAACAGTAAAATGTCTTATTAAACGTAAGATCTTCTTCACAGCCTTTTTTAACAGATACTAGTACAGGTGATTCCATGTATACTGGATGACTCACAAAAAAGCATCGCATAAACCAGTTGGAGTTGGTAAAGTTATGGTTGCATCGCAGTTGTTTTAAGTTACAGGAATGCTTAAAGATATTTAGAAACTTGGCACTCAAATTATATAAAAATACACCATTGACTCATATGCTTACTTATTTTTATCAAAAATGATGATACGTTCAGCTGTGTTATTTGGTTTGAAGTGAGGTGGTTATGCCAAAGTTTGAGAGGCACAGTGCTATGGTTGGTCAGACCACCTGTTTGCCAAATCAAGTTTTTTTTTTTATATTAAGTGATGTAAAAATTAAAAAGGCTTCGCGTTTTCGACTTTAGCCGGGTAAGATTGTCAAATATATAGAATGCAACGGTCATACGATCACTCATAATCGTATTTTCGCGGGATATCATACAGGACAGTATCCGGGTAAAGTTTAAAAAAAAAAGAAAAATACTTGAATTTACTTGAGGCACCCACAAAAAAAGAATGTCTAAAGAATAATTGGTTTAACTGGCGTATTATTACACTTTAATTAAACTGAATTCAAGTTTTATGTATGCTTTAGTCAATTAATGTTTTACGTGTGTGTAAATGGAACACTGTCCTGAAGCTAATTTGCATATCGACTTCAGTGAGTTTCTAATTACCATTTGCAAATACTTTTCCCTTGCATTTTTTTTGCGGCATAGGATAAACCTATGAAGTGTTTGTTACACCAACGACCTAAATACGGTGGTCTTTCATGAAGCCTAAACAGCTTATCGATTTTGTGACAAAAAAAAAAGGACTCGAGGGATCAACTGGTATATGATAATTGTACAGCCTGAGTTTTTCGGTGATCCCACATGACACTGTCAACGCGAACTTTTTTTTTTTTTTTTTTTTTAGAAAAATAGCTGTTGACTGTATATTCATTACTTTGTTCTACTTGTGTACATAAAAGAGTTGTCTGGATCCTCGATCCAAGGACTGACGTAATGAAACAGTGTCCACCAAAACCATTGGGCGGGACACAAAAATTCTGCAAGAAAAAAAAAACAATTATAAAAGGCGCCAAGAGAGACATGAAAACTTTACTTTTTCACATATAAAAAAAAAAATGGCTATTGGTACAAGCAGCCGTAGGGCTACTCTTTCTTCTACCTCCATTCCAGTTCCACCTCCTCAATCACACATTCCAGACAACCCAAGTCAACCACCAGCACAAGGGCTTTTATCAGTCAGTCCTTTAATATCGGGAGAGAGACGTGGTTCCATCTCTCAGTTATCTTCTAGCGCACCTTCGTTTGGATCCTTCTTAAGCTCGGAACGCAGAAGTTCAAACGAAACCTCGACAAGAAGAGATAGTAACGTTAATGCACCTGCAATGGCCATCGAGTTTGACGGCGGAACGCATATTATTGTACGTCCTAACCGTATTGTCAGAGGTTAGTTCTCTCTTCTTTTACGTATATACATACATACTGACTTGTGTATACTAGGCAAAGTGATATTGAATCTTACAGAGAGAATCCTTGTAACAAGAATTAGAATCAAGGTAAGGAAGGCTAACTGCTCTAAAGTCTTATAACACAGAAGGGCTTACAAGTTTCTTCTCTTAGTTTCGTGCTGAAGAAATAGCCACAGTTAAAATCGATGAGGGAACGGATGGCCGAAATGAATGGATCCATGAAATGATTACAACATTTTTCGAGACAGAATGGAAGTTACATGGTCAAGAAGCCTCTCGTAAAGTTTGACGATACACAAAAAAAAAATTATGGTCTCAAATGACGTTATTAATTCGATTTTTTTTTTTTGTATGTAAAAAGCTTATTCACAAAGTGCTTGGGATGAGATTGAACCTGGTCACTACGAATATCCGTTCGCATTAAAGGTTAGCTCGCATAAGTTAGTGTAACATGCAATTAAGACTCATTTTACTGTTGCCTTTTAGTTTCCCAACGTGAATTATCCACCATCCATGGAAGAACCTGCTGGATTTGGGATTCGATATATTTGGACAGCACAGGCCGACGGCCCAGCACTTCAATCTGGATTGAAAAGTAGAGAATATATTACACCTTACAGGCCTGTCATTGTGTCTATTGCAGGTTGGTTTATTTTTATACGTAACAAAGATTGCTTTCCTTAACAAATACAATAATAGACAAGGAGTGGGTTTACAAGACAACGTTGATGAAGGATAAAAAGCAGGCATTAGCAGAAGTACAAGCCAAACTATATAAACAGACATACTGTCCAGGTACCTTAATTTAACGGTTATGACGTAAAAAAAATGAGGAATCTAAACTAAATATTATTTTAATTGTATAGATGAACCTTTCAAGATGCAGCTGAACATGATGACTTTACAATCTGATGCAAAAATTATTAACGTAAGCTATCGTTTCCGCAAACATCATGAGGGAAAGATGCTAGTTCAACAAGGAACAGCGTTCCAGGAGAGTATTCGAACGGTGCTGGATGGTACAGTGACGCTTAATATGAATGATCTGACACAATTATCGGAGACTATTCAATTTGATGTTCCTACACGACTTGTATCACCTTCATTCATATCACGTCATACTCGTGTCCACTATGATTTATTTTTCCAAGTAACCATTGAACAAGGCCACATTTTCAAGACAAATAACATTACCGAATTTTCTATCCCGATCACCATTGCCAATTTACCGTTTGACCAATTATTACGTATTCCTGAATTAACATCTATCCAATTCTATCGTAATTCTCAAGAATGTCCATTGTTCTTTGATCCAAACTTGGAAGAACCACCTGCACCTCAAGGTCTACCGAGTGAACTAGTGGGTCCTCTTACAGCTGCTCTCATGAGTCCCAATTCATCCAATGAAGAGCAACCACCCAGTTACTTTAGTTTACCGGAACTACCTCCACAATTTGAATTAAGAAAAGAGAGAAAGGAACGGACTGTGTATATGACGAGACTTGCAAGAGGAGGTTATCGTGCTTTAGAACTGGGTGATGCCACCATCATCCCTGGCTTATATGATGAGGATTGGTAAAATAATAATAATATAATGATCGTGTTACTGAAATGTATAAATTTTTTTTTTCTTGTTTTTAATAAATAATCACATAATAATAAATAGAATCCATGATTTTTTTTCTTTCTTTTTTTTTTTTTTTTTTTTAATTACACATTATTGCCATCCCCAGACTTCCTTGACCCATTGTCCTAAATCCATGTGAACATGTTCCCATTTGGTGATAAAAGGATGTTGTAGCATACGTGCAGGGTTGGGTCTATATGTTGGATCCTTGGTCAAACTAGACAAAATTAATCAGTAAAATGAACGCTGTCTTTAAAGGCCTAATGATGATTAATTTACCAGATAGCAACAAAGTTTTTACATTCGTCCGAAATATGGTTTCCTTGAATTTCGGGTACGGGTTGACGAACAATGAAATCGAGCAATTCAAAAATTGAAAGATGAGGTTGATCTGGTGGGGGTAAAGCGGGTCGGTTTTGTGAGACCTCAATTAAGGTAAGACCAAGTGACCAGATATCGGATTGTACAGCATAAGCATTACCCTGAATACGCTCAGGCTATTTTTTTTTTATATATGGAAATAAAAGCCAGTTAAACATATATCCTTCCCTCCTTTTATTTTTTCTTTTCCCTAAACTTACAGCCATGTAATATTGAGTGCCTGTGAATGTCTGTGCAACCGAGTTGATCAAAACGCCTGATACTCCAAAATCACAAAGTTTAATATCTCCCTTTCGTGTCACAACTATATTGGAAGGTTTGATGTCTAATTATGAAGATAAAAAAAAAGTCAGTTTTTTTCTTGGGTTCCTAAAATTCATTGTCACTGTTTATAATTTTTACCTCTATGAATTACTTTCTTTGAATGTAAATACACCAATCCTTTACAAACCTAAAATATATTTAGTTTTTTTTTCCGTTGGGTCGTCATCCCCACGCATTCTATAACCACTTACGGATTCCGCGATGCGTTCCAAAACGGGCTCGCCGATGACGCCACCTAAATCTCTTGCTCGTTTGTAAATATCTTCTAAACTACCAGCTTCACAGTATTCCATACACAATGCAACCGTCGTATCACCGTCATCAAGGAAAGCACCGTAAAACGAAACAATATATGGCGAATCACAGGTCTTTAAGAAGGCTAATTCACGTAAGATTTGTCGTTGAACAGCTGGATCAGGTTCGGTTGAAATAGACTAAGAAACCAGTACTTATTTAGAGAGAGGGGGACGGTAAAAACAAGAGCGAAACTCAAGATAATCTTTTTCTGTGCTTACCTTTTTTGCCATAATCAGTTGAGTAGGCTTATGCAATACTTTACGTACGGTACCAGCCGCACCTTCGCCTAACCTGGATAGAGTTTCGAGGTCTTCAGCATTAATTTCCATAAAAGTATGCGTTGTTGTTGGTTCGACACGTTGTGTGTTGATAGAGGGAGGAAGTGGAGGTTCACGCAAAACTGGGATATCATTGTTTTTAACGTCAGTTGCTGTAGTGGTGGAAGCGGCCAGATAAGAAGCGGCCAACGAAGTTTCCTCTTCTTCTGCTGGGTTGCTACTATCGTAATTTTCGTTGCTTCCGTTAACAATGTTGCCGATTTGTTCTCGGAATCGAGTATTGGATTGAGATGTACCAATGTAAGAAGAAGAGTTGGGTGAAGGAGACGAAGATGCAGGCTGAAGATGTTTAGAAGTCAGACGAAGTCCAGGTTTACGTTTACCGGCTTTAGGTAAACCAAGAGTCAAGTCTGGTGTAAACGACATTTTCTTTTCTTGAATATAAGCTTATAAAGAAAAGAGAGAGAGAGAGAAATAAAAAAGAACGTGTACTAAAATATAATGCTCTTAAAGAAAAAGGCTCGGTCTCTGCCCGAGGGACGAGTCACGGCACCCATCGAAACTGAGCTTCAAAGCTTTTTTTTTTATTATTGCTCAATGCTAAATAACCTGAACCTGTTCCTTGTAAGCTTTTTTTTTTTAAAAAAAAAGGAATAAATAAATAATAATAATATTCCAAACAGGTATTTTGATCCAGTATTTACAACAACAACAAAAAAAGGACTTCAACCAGTAAAAAATAAAAAAAAAAAAAAGCAGGAGAAAAGAGTGCATGTCAATCATTAATGCATCAGAGTGAATACAGAGGCCAAGTGGTAAAGATGAATGGATACACCAGATCAAATGCAATTTAAAAAAGAAGTCATAGCATCTGTAACCACATATAATCTTGACTGTTCGCAAAAATAGCATCTAAAAACGATTGGCCTCCTATGAAACGTGCTTCTGAAGACAAGTCTAAACCCATCTTTCTCAATGTGTATCGAGAAACAAAATTACTCCTTCCCCTTTTTTATCGTATTTAAAACTCCAAAAACGATGGGTTTTTTTTGTAAAAATAGGTATTTTTTTTAAGTGTCACATTCAGCCTACCAAAAATAGTTGTAATTCACAAGATTTTTTTAGTAATTAAGTGGGTCATATATATATCTAGTACAAGACACAACACAATATTCTTTATTCCTCCCCTCCTTTCCTTTCTCTCTCTCTCTCTCTTTCTTTTTTTTTCCCTCTCAATTCCTGACCCCTTCCCTTCCTTTTTTTCCTTACTATGTTTAAAAAACTCTCTCTTTCCCTTCACAGACCTCAAAAGTAAAATAGATAACATTTAATCGTTTTGATACAACACTCATATTAATCATTGATATTTTCAAAATTGTAGGATCGAATCAAACAATGTACAACAAAGAACCCTTTATTTTGACCCTTCTAGAAACTAACTTTTTTTTTTTATTTCGCTCTCTTTGCACATTAGATTCAACATGACTCTCTTAATCGAGATTCCTTAGTTGACCCCAATGTCGAAAGATACATTCAATATTCCAAAGACACATATATTGGTAAGAGAAATTTAGGAAAGAAAAAAAAAAACTTGTGGAGATCTACCTTATTTAAATATTTCACTCTCAATTTAGAACCCAATACTAAGCCTGTCAGTCAAATGGCGGATAGTTACCATGACAACTCTTACACTGACAGCTATTACCGCCAATCTACTACCGAAGATTATTATGATCTTAAACCACCTCCACTTACCATGGACCACTTAACCGAATCCAGAAACTCGCTCGCTTTCCCTTCACCCGCATCTATCCCTTCGCCCGTGACTCCGGGACGTTCACAACAACAGAACGACCTGTCACCAGAAAATGAAATTGAAGCCCTCGTTCACCAAGGTATCACTTTTCATGAAAAGGGTCAATTGGAAAAAGCAACTTCGTTATTCAGAATTGCTGCTGAAAAGGAAAATCCTTTGGGTATGTTTCTTTATGGTGTTTCGTTACGACATGGCTGGGTAATGAGAGACTCTATTATATTTCTTCTTTCGACACTATGGCTGAATTTTTTTTTTTTTTTTGTAGGGCTGCAAAAAAAATGAACATGCTGCATTTCAATATCTTCAAAAGGCAGCTGAACATGCAGTAGAAGATTTAGCAAACATCACAAATACTGTCAATACATCAGCTTCCAAAGGTGAATTAATCATGGCTATTTACGAGTTGGGTGTATCTTTTCGACATGGATGGGGTGTAAGTGAAAGTAAAACTTTTGATTTACATATGGTCAAAAAGGAAGGGACGAAACTGACGCCTTCTTTTTTTTTTTAAAAAAAAAAAAAAATAATAATAGTGCAAAAAGAATAAGGAATCAGCAGTACAATTCTTTAAAATTGCCGCCGACTTAGGTGATCCTGATGCTCAAAATGATTTAGGTCACTGTTATTGTCAAGGACAAGGTGTCAAGAAAGATTTGGTTTTGGCCGCCAAATATTATCGTAAGGCCGACAAACAAGGTCAGGGCATCATGGGTAATTCTTGGATTTGGAAGACAAAATACGATTCAAAATAGCCTTGCCAACTACCACCACAAAAAAAAAAGTAATTCCCCTGTATCAAAAGAGGGGGGAGTTTCTTTTTTTTTTTAATATATCATATCCTGGGATACCTTAAAAACAAAATCAATAAATAAAACAAAATAAAAAAACTGTATTATTAAAAAATATCAAATATCCAAAATGGTTGCATGATTTCATGTCCTTTTTGTGGGTTGAATTCTTCTTTTTTATAACCTTAAAAGAAAAAAAAAAAAAAAAAACTTTAAATATTACACTGGTTTTTTCTCGTATGATCTTTAGTGCAGCATATTTAGGAGTCAAAAATACCTGTCATTATGAAGCTTAATAAGATTTCAACTGCCACAAAAAATCCCATAAAATGTTAAAATGATGTTTTTTTTTTATTATTTTGTGTAAAAAAAAAAGGGATTAATGTAGTATGATTTATATTTGATGTTGAGATGAGTCTAAGATATCAACAAAATTACTCTTTAAAAAGCACAAACAAAAGTCTCTACTTCTTCATATAAACAACACTCAAGGCTAGTGCCAGTAGTATGGGGCTTGGTGGTATGCTTAGTAGTGTGCTTCTTGGTGGTAGTGTGAGGCTTGGTAGTAGTGTGCTTTTTGGTGGTAGTGTGAGGCTTGGTAGTAGTATGTTTCTTGGTGGTAGTGTGTTTCTTGGTAGTTGTTGTATGCTTCTTGGTGCTGGTATGAGGATTCTTATGAACAGAAGTGGTGTGCTTCTTGCTAGTGGTAGTATGCTTCTTGGTAGTAGTAGTGTGCTTCTTGGTGGTAGTGTGTTTCTTGCTAGTAGTATGCTTCTTGGAGGTAGTATGCTTCTTAGTTGTAGTAGTGTGCTTCTTGTGAGAGGTAGTGGTGGTGTGAATGGCGGGGGTGGTAGAAGCAGTATGAGTCTTGGTGACAGAACATGTCTTTTGGGGCTTGCCGATGGTTGTCTGACTATGCTTGACAGTTGAACAGGATGTCTTGGTAACGGTTCTTGTACATGTGGGAGGGGTGGTAGTACCGCTAGGAGGAGTGGTTGTAGTACCACTAGGAGGGGTGGTAGAGGTGATAGTGCTAGTGAGAGTAGTAGTGGTGCTATCAGTAGTAGTAGACACTAAGGGGGTTGTGGTGGTACTTGAGCTAGTGGAAGTGCTGGTGCTAGTAACTGTACTAGTGGTATCAGTGGTTGGAGGTACAGTAGTAGTGGTGACAACAGTAGTAGTATCAGTGGTAGTAGCGGGTACAGTAGTAGTGCTGACAATAGTGGTACTATCAGTGGTAGTAGCAGGTACAGTGGTAGTGGAAGCGGTACTATCGGTGGTAGTTGTAACTGAAACTGTGGTGGTGGTGGTTACTGGAACAGTGGTGGTGGTAGATGTAGTGGTTGTAGTTGTACCAGGGTAGGGAGGTGTGGTAGTGTTAGTCAAAGGGAAACAATGAGTGTAGCCATCACAATCACCACCGACAGCCTTGTAATCATGAAGTTCAACGCCGTTATTTCCAGCCCAGCTATAATCATTAGCAATGGTGAGACCAGCAAAATTACCAGTGCTGCCATCCTTGATGTTACCTAAAATTAAACGTTTTTTTTTTATTAATTGTGTTATTTTTAAAACAAAAAAATGCTATAAATTACCTTCTGGTGCTAAAATCAAACCACTCAATTGACCGCCCGTGTTACGTTTCACGATGAATCCGCCGCTGGAGTACTTTCCTGTAGAATCAGCTGGATAGAAATTATAAATGGTGCCACAAGGAGACATGCCCATGCTTGGTTGATTACCAGCAAGTTCAATGGAACCACTATCAACGGGGATCTAATACATGTATTTAGTAATTCTGCCATAATTGGTACTTTTAATTTTTGCTGTTCTTACGTTGAGGATCAATTTTGAAGGAAAAGACATATCTCTAGGACCATTCCAATTTCCTTGACCAAAGAGGATAGCTCTAGGATCAGACATTAATCCAGGATGTAAGTTACACTGTTGGTTATTACAATTGTTGAAGGTAATGACATCAAAACCATCGGTTTGTCCACCCACTGAGGAAAGTTTACCATCGGCATTCAAAAGAAGACTGGGAGCGTAATTGGCAAATTTTCTTGAGGCATAGATGGCATTATCATGAGCTTGATCAAAACTGAAAATACCAGTACCCTTATCCGTACTCAATGGACAGGCATTGTCGAGTTTTTGGATACCGCTAGTGTCGGATCCAGCAGGAAGGAAAATAGCACCGTGAACATGGACATCTCTTGCCTCAACTTTACCACCAACAACAAGACCGTAGCCCTCCAAACTGGTATCAACGTGAGAACAGTCTCCAGCGTGGTTACCGTTGACAGTATAAGTGGAAGAAGAGAATTTTCCCTTCACAGCAAGTGGGCCTAAAATATCTTGACCGCCTGTCGTAGTGAAATCACCAAAGAAAATACCAGTAAATCTAGTGAACTAAAAAAAAAAAGTGTGCCAAAGTTAGCTGTCTGTTTATGATGGTGACAAAAAAAAAGACGAGTATATTCAATTACCATAGCGCCAGCGATACCATTGTTAGTACAGGTGTCGCTTTCTCTCTTAGATGCATTGAAAGCTAACAATCCAGGTGCAAAACCAGAAGCCAAAATAGCTAACGTAATAAGTCTCATTGTTATATATATATGGTTAGATGAAAAGAAAAGCGAGAAGAAAAAAAAAATTAAAATGAAAATGGGAAACCACACGCTTTGCTTATATAGCTAGATTTTACATTGTTTTTCCAGATAGATCGTTGATGATTTTGCCTCGGTCAAAGTAACGACATGGAATATGAAAGCGTGGCATTAGACCATAAATTGAATTTGTATACAGTTTAGACATTAAATACAAATTCAGAAAAATAAAAACCTGCTGGTCGATGAATATTACTCGTCAGTTACTTGTCTCAATCTTTGTATCACCGTAGCACAAGCGCATTTGCTAGTTAAAATAGTTGCAATAGTGGACATTTTGTTTTTGTCAGAATATGCTTTATCTGTCCTTCAATCATCCCAACACCCATATGACAGGGTGCGTAATTGACTTGTAATATATCACTGTTATAATTGATGGCGTAATAATATATTGTCAAGACTCGTGCAATAGTTGCTTTTACGAACGCGGGATACCATCACCGTCATGTCCCGTTTCAAAAAAGAATACTCCTTATAGTCAACATACTTTGAACTTTTTTTATTTTAAAAATAGAAATGTGACGTTACATATACTGTGAAAGACATACCGAAAATCGAATGATTATAAAGCGCTATTGATCTTGGGCATGGATTGATTTTATTTTCATCACACGTGTGCCTCGACTGGCACACACAGAAAAAAAAATCAAGCGAAGTTTTAAAATCTGGATATGAAGTACATTTGACTGCAGGACGAATGTCAATGGTAGTGCGAACAGCATTAGTCCTAATCGGTACTAGCTGTAAAATTGTAAATATATGCTTATGCAAAAAAAAAAAAGATCGTTCTTTTACTGTTTTGAAAGTAATCTGTTAGTTTTCAAATTTATCATACAATAGCTTGACCAAGTACATTTGTATTTTGAGAAAACCCGAGAAATAATCCGAAGAAATAAAGCCATTGGCGTAATTCTACGACGCGAGCCAGACTTTATGTTATCATTGTGTTACCATTGTACTTTCCATGTTACATGCATAATTAATTAGCAGAACAAATATATGTATCTTCTTTTAATCAGCAACAGTAAGCTGTGATTTATCATAACCGAATTACTTTATCAAATAATCATTGTTGCGAAAGCACCAAAAATACCTCACCAACCAGCCGCTTAAATGATGATTCGGTAGATCCTTATTTGATTTGTGCGTGGCCAATTCTTCTTTTTTAGGTAAATTATCAGAATCGGCCATACAAATAATGGGATAAATAAAAAATTCGGGCGCTACACCTTAACCCGCGGCTTGTTGTGTAAATGTTTAATTTGATTAAAGATTGTGTTCGGAATTCATATGCCATCCAACAATTTGTCTGGACCCACTTCTATCAATCCAATTTCTTTTTTGAAGCGCTGTCAGTTTTACCTGGTAATTAATTTTCTTATGGTCAGACGTTGGACAAATAAGTCTTTTCAATATAGTTAGGTATGTATCGACTTTCTGCCCCCGAAATAGAGTAATATTGGCTTATTTTTAGATGCAACCAATTATTTTTGAAATGATACAGTGAGAACCGTAAATTTTATCCCATTTATAATCGAGGGCTTTTAATCAAAAATTAAATATATCACAAAGCCCACCATAATAATCCCTTCATATATAAAAGTTTTCACATTTTGAAATAAGAGACATGCCACAAAAGGATAAATCAAACTTGCCCAAACTTTTTTTTATTTTTTAAATATATCTGATTGAAGCCAGTGCCTTAAAGATATCGGTTGTTATACTTTGCTGCTATAAAAAAAGATTGTGGAGTACAATAGCCTACAAACTACTACCAGCAACTGCAACTTATTTTAGCTAGGAGGGATGATCCGAAATAATACACCAGAAATGATGACAACCATGCGCAATTAAACTATGAATCTCTTTGTGCAGCAAAATACTAATTTGTGATGTCAAAATAGCCACGGCAACACCTGTGCCAAAAACACATGCAGTGACTTCCGTTTGAAATTCAAGATTTTCAAAAATCAATCAGGCTTCTCATAGTCCATTCAAATGTTTTGTCTGACTTTCTTTTCCTACTAGCTACTCTTTACCACAAACTCTTCCCAATTTTTGACAGCTATGATATCATCGTCGGGTTTGGTAATTTGAAGAGCTTCTGTGATGTCTTCCTCCAAGTCAAAGTCGATAATTTGCTCGTCGTTGTTACTGTCGTACCTAGCGGTGCTTTCCGAACGAAAAAGAATATCATCATGTGTCACATCCCTTCAGATGCATGAGCTCTATATCGTGTTGTCTTTTTGCTTCAAGAATAATACCAATTTTACGATAATTCAAGTACACCAGACGTTTTAAGGACAAGGTATCAGCCAGAGTTTGGGCGAAAGACGTTAAGTTATTTACAATTTTTGGTACAGCAAAGACACCCTTATTATAACTGGCCGAATGTTTCTGAGAAACATGCTTGGTTCCAAATATTTGCAGCTTGACGCCTTGACACTGGAAAGCGATTAACTTGAGGTTGGATACCGCTTGAAGCGCCGGTGCCGAATAGGCAGTAAGACGTAATGACTTTTAAATATGAAAGGAGGTACTTATCTTGAGGAATTTATCCTTATAGAGTATATTAATCTTACTACTCCCTTCAGTAGTACATCCTGCAAGTCTAGATTCATAAACGATAGAGTTATGCTTATAGTGTGCACATCAATTACCCATACACGCTGTCCATTTTTTTGGTCATCAATCATATAGGAATTATTAAAAATATATTCTATAATAATTTTATGTTACTTTAATTTGCACCTGTGATAATTCATTTCTATCGTATAACCAACATTATACACAATGATATTGATGCGTGCATAGTCATTGCAGGATACCTGTGGGCGTTTATTTTAGTTCTAATGATAACTTTTGGTAATGTTACAAACAAAACTGTTCGTCGGGTCACCTCTTACGAAGTCGTTCCAATCTTGCTGTTTGGGCATATAGGACCTACTGTTATAATATCGTCACTTGTATGGAAAAATGAGAAAAGGTCGGCTGCTTATGCATTTCTTTGCATTGTGTTTTTTTCTGAGTATGAAAAACCGTCAGAACCCATTAACCGTACATAGGAGCTTGTTTTCATGGATCTATCATTGGCCGTAACAATTATGATTTCAGTTCTCTTTGGTCATATTTGGATTACAGAGGGAAATTTTATTAGCGAAGATGCGTATGGCAAGTACGAGATTTCTACTAGCCATGGTATGTCCTATGCTTAACCATCCAATGGCGAAGAGAATACAAGAGGTGTTAATAGCTATACATATATAATTCAGCAACATTTTTTAACACCCCTAATTTAGCTGTACAAGCTCTTAAGCAAGATAATGAACATATCATAATAAATTTTACACAATAAAACATTTTCTTCGTCATGGTTTATACCCTTTATTCATTAAATACTAGAGCTTTCGACATATAAAAAACATCGATTAAGTCCTTTGTTATATTTTCCAATCAAATGAGGGCTGATGGACTTGTGTAAATGTTTGGTGATCGCAATTCAGTTTAAGCCTTACATAAGCAAATCAGAATTTTAAAAAGACAGAAATCGCAAATACGATTTGGTGACACGAACGTTCTTTTTTTTTCTTCGCATAATTTGTTACTTTGTCGATTCAGGTCAGGATTTATTGCCTAATTTAAACTCTACCATTAAATAGACTTCACTTTTTATAACTGTTCGTACATATAAGACTAGAGAGAAGTTTTTTTTTCCCTCATTCCAGTTTTTGGGCAATGTCACATCATCCATTTTAAAAATCACAAGTGGATTTTTAAATTCCCATGTTGTGACGAGGAAAATAAAAAATATCACTATTGCGGCATGTGTGTTTAACTTATGTTATCATCACCGTATTACTTGATTGGATCTAATCACAAAGTAAGAGTGTACTGCACATATATTTCATTTTTAAAGCTAATAAGATAAACACTCATTAGCTATGTTCCCTTTTATTATAGGTTTTAAAGATATCACGTATTTTGTTTTTGAATTAGCAATAATTAAAACTTGCTACATGTCATACAAGTTTCTTTTCTTTTTTTTCTTTTTTTTCTTTGCTTAGCATATACTTTGTGGTATGATACTGACGATGCTTCTGTAACACAGCTTAGCGAAATAATTATGTTACAATGTATGACCACAAAAAACGAGATATATAGCCTAAGAACATTCTTTTTCTCTTTTTTTTCTCTTCTTTTTAAAATTTACTTTACAAATCACCTTCTACTTAACATTTATATCTTATACAAATGGCGTCTCTTGTATATCCATTCGTAGGGCCATTAGTCATTAATTGTCTTTTAACGATTGGTGTTTGTTACTACATGATCAAAAGCTCTGTGTATAGATCACCGATCACGTACTTTTCTTTTTTAGCTACTCTGTCCGCATTGTTAGGCTCAATTTTTAACGCCGCAGTTTATATGGACTGGAGCCGTTATTATACACTCAGATCAGCTATGTCAATATTATCTGTTATCTCAACTTCGTCTTTGTTTGTACCAGGATTAATCGGCTTCCATCGTATTTCTAAGCAAAAGGACAACAAAGCAGGTGTTTATATTTCAGTTGTGGGCTACTTATGGGCTTTTGTTTTAAGTCTCATGGTTATTGTAGTCTATGCTATGTTTGAAATCCAAGGCAGCATAGACTCTTACTATGTACGTTATGTCTTAGCATATGGACACTGTGGACTTGCTTTTTTGGTAGTTGTCCTTTGTTTGATGACTCACCAATACTTGCATGGAAAAGCTAAAAAAAGTTTGATTGCTTATACATCGCTTTTTATTATATTTGAGATTTTCTTTTTTATCGTCAGCTTTGCTGTTAGATCTGGAGTCGCTTACTATGGTCTGACACTGGTTTTTATTGACTTCGCAACGGCATTAGCAGTACTTATTTCTGTAATGTATGGCCATCTTTGGACTGCAATGGATGATTTAAGTGAAACTGATTCGCATGAAAAGCTTGAGGTTGGCAGCTCGCAGGCTTAGAAAATTAGTTCACAAAACACAAAGAAGGCGAAACTTTTTCTCTTTCACAATATTAGAATACTTTAATTGATTTATCCTTCCCCATAATAACATCTCGAGCATATCAATAAATTTCCTAATGTATTATACATTGTATTTCAATTTTCAAATAAAACCGTTATTATCACTTACGTTAGATGTCCCCGGCCCTCATACCAAAATTTGAAACATGAACTAGAAGCTTTATTTAGTTTTCTGCTCATATTTTAAAGCATCAATGTGCAGTTGACAACTTGTATTATTCACCTACGTGGTTACTAAATTTAATTTTTTAAAAAAAAAAAGGTTTACCTTACTGCTCCAAAATTTTGAGTTTTAGAAGGGCTCGCAAATAAGCGCCTTTGTTTACAAGAGCATTTCAAAACTTGATACAATAGATAAGTATAAAAGCAAGTCAAGTGTTTTTATAAATATTGACTCCTTGTTTTAAAAAAAAAAAAGTTTAACAACTTTTACCATGTCTCTTTTTTGACCGTACGCTTACTGCTGGAGCACCCTTGATCCAATCAAATCCCTCTACTTCGAATTAACGGAGTTGTATTGGGGTATCAAATCACTTGATTTGAGTTAAGATTAAATAAACTCTTTTTATCTCTTTTTTGAAGTTTCAAATTGTTCCTGACACATTTGAAAAGAACATTATGAATAATCTCAACCCCAGCTCTAATGTCGAAAAAACAGGACGGGAAGGAAGTTTCCCGAGATTCAAACAGAAACGTGGTCGTCCATCAGGTGGAAAGACTGAAAAGAAGCCAGACGTTGTTTATGGAAGACCGAGAAAGCAACTCAAGAACCAATCGTCATTGTTTAATTTCACAATGCAGGCGAAAGCAGTAAGACGATGTTCTTAATTTATATATAAGCTTTACTGTTGAGTCATTCATATCTTTTTTTTAGTCTTCGAACACTATCCACAATGAGCAGGAACACCAACAAACGAATGTTGAAGAGATCGTCGACAATAATGTTGACACAACAGTCGATGAATCTGTACCTGAAGAGAGTTTCAGTAATTCTGTAGTAGTTGAGCTTGACGAGAATCATTCCTCTTTAGTCAACCAAGAAAAGATGATTACCACTGAATTTTCAACTTTTGAAAATAGCGTTGACGATGAGACCGAAGACGAAGTTAATATTGATGAATTTCCCAGCATCGATATCAAAACTGCGGATTTGTTGGATGAAGATAATGGAAATGATAATGAGTGGGGAACAGACGATGAAAGCGATACAGAAGAACTGGACGAAAACGAATTCATCACTGTTGACAATGATGCAGCTTCTATCCTTGAAGTAAGCTACGTCAATAAGTATCTTGCTGAGTTACAGGAGAGATTGAAGGGGAAAAGACCAGAAGAGTATCAGAATGGCACTTTTTTGTGTTCACCGAAAGAATCCATACTTTATGCTTGATAGTAACAACAAAGACCCGGGATACATCTATACACCTAGAGTGTTTTTATGGTTCCCTCATCATTTAGTAAGAGATTTAACGTGTCCGACTTGTGAAGCAAAATAGGTGTATAGGGATTCAATAAGAAGCCTAGAGCTAGGAGGATTATCGATTTAAATGAGTGCGATCTTAAATGAGAAGTTTCTTTTCATGTCATTTCTAATATGTCTAATAATTTTTAGCTGCTTTTACCTGATGACTACAAGATACAAGTGTCGTAACAAGGATGTTAAGCACACATTTGATGGGTGTAACCCAGCTTTGATCCGACAACTTCCACTTCATTTACAAGCTGAATTTCCAGCTGTCCTTATTCATCGATCTGGCCTTTCTAAAATGCTTTGCAAACTGATGAGACCACTCTTTCAACATGGGATCGGACCTCATCATATGTCTAAAGTCCTTCGCGTGATGCACTCTGAGAAATATGACGAATTGCAGCTTCAATACTACACAACCCTCGATCATGATGCCCAAAGTCCTTCCGTATTATCTATGCTCCAGTCAAGACAATATCGTGAGTCTTCTCAATTCAAAGACAAGATGTAATATAATGGTTATGTTCCTTCTGCTAATTACATTAGCTATGTATACAGCTCCTTGATAGCGAAGGTTCGTCTTTTCATGGGTCAATTTATGTCGTTTGTAGACGGCACTGTTTTAAAAGGGGATCATTCTTTCAAGATCATTGATCACTTGGCGAAAATCAATGGGGTTTCAACGTTTTCTTGCCTCTACACTGTTTTAAATGAACGTGAAGAGATCCGTTTACAAGTCTTGGCACAAAGCAAAAAAATGGATCATCTAGCACCTCAATTTCTCCAGATGATGGATACTTACAAAAAGCTTAATATGAAAGAGCCTGAGCTTTTTTATACAGATAATGTCATTGGAGACCAAGGATTCTTAAAACAGGTGATGCCGTCCTTAACCAAAGACGTTGTACCTATTCCCAAATGTACAAATGGACAACAGCAACAACAACAAAACCCTTTTCTTTCACTTCCTATTATTATCCTTCCAGAAACTTCAAAGATCAGAGTTTTAAGATCTGAAGTAGAAATCAATGAGGCTTGTATCGAATTATTTGGAAATACTGATGAGTATAGTAATGAAATTTCTGTTGTTTTTGATTGTGAATGGATGATGTCCACAAGTGGAGTATCCTTAATGCAGATGTGCTACCGAAATGAAATTGTTTTGTTCCGTGTACATGACTTTGATACGAATACGTTTCCTCGTGAGCTATCAGAAGTTCTTAGCTACTCCAAGATTGTGAAATTAGGGAGAAATTTCAAGGCAGACTGTACAAGAGCGAAGCGTGTCTTTAGTGTTGTGGTATTAAACCACGTAGATCTTGGGCCATTTTGCTACAACCGCGACTTAGTTAATAACTCTCGTCCCCGACTTGATGTTCTTTGTGGAAGCATTTTATCTTTGCAACTACCAAAGATATCTATCATTCGTTGTGGTGACTGTAAAAGAGATGATTTGACAAGTGAGCAAATAAGCTATGCTGCATTAGATGCTTGGGTCGCTTTAACGATTTTTGAAAAGGCTAACGAAGAACCAGCTGTAAACGAAAAGGTTATAAAAAGGTACTTTTGTTGCAGTTTATAACCAAACATCCGCAAGAGTGATGCCTTCTGCCTATGGATTCATTGAGGATAATGAAGGATCCATTGAAGCTCATCTAAAAGATACCAGGCTTATAAAGGTCGATGATGTTCAAGTGATTTCTATGCTTCTTGAAAGTCATCAAGAAAACGGCAATCCTGAAGCAAGAACTTTAAGTGATTTGGGTGATCCTCCTTTTGTATTAAGAATCAGCAACCACCGTTTGAGAGCGGCCTCGAAAAAACAATACGACCTTAAAAAGCAGCAAAATTTGTCAAAAGTATCTCCTATTTCCCCAGAGTCAGACACCATCCACCCGAATACGTCTCTTGACTCAGGGAATGTACATGTACCTTCAAGAATCCTGAAAGATGCTTTTCATGTAATGCAAATGATACCGTGTTTCCTAAAAACATGGCATGGCCAAAGAGTTTTCTCGTCGCTTCAGAGATGCTATGTTTGTTGTTGATCTTGGTGATAAAGAATTAGTGAGCCAATATCTTGAATCAATAGGAACTGATCGGGAGAGATATATGGTGAAAAACCTGGACTTTGTTTTGGAGCGTGTACGAAGATATATACCACCATTCGAAAAGTTGTATAAATTTGTCTCAATGCTTTTCATGCATTACGGTCCTGCAAAGTGCGTATTAAGCGGGAAGACTTTGTTCAATGAAGACTCATGGAGCTCTTCTAAGCATGTTTTGGAGGGGTTAAGACTTGGTCACGTTTCAGACGTATCAGATGGTCCCGTATTATATACAGAAAAGGGGTTCGACAAGAATGGATTGGTGAAGTATAGGTGTAGCTGAGATACTAGTTCTGTAGAAGGCTCTGTACATATGAACATCATAAGAAAATTTGCATCGTACAACGCAGGTCCTCGTTTAGCTGATATAGTTCTTGCTGACTATCGTCTTTATCACCACACCGATGTAAGAGCATTTCAAAGTATACTTATATACAAGTTCAATTGACCTAATACGTATTATACTAAATCATAATTTATGAATTTTTAGGCTGGCTCAAGAAATCGCTACGGAAAAATGCTTAAAAGTCATTACAGTCCCTGATTATATCAATCAATCAATACTATTAGAATCAAGCTGGGTCATACACCTATTGACAGCTACTTTAAGAATAGACTCGGTAGTACTTTTGAATATGAGAAAACACAAGAGACGTATGGTATTACAGCATTACCAAATGAAGTAATGCGAGAGTACAATATATTACCAGCCATTAACCATGTAAGCAACCAAACGTTTTCAAAAGCCAAGTTGCTCGAACTCAATCTCCTCCCTGTTGTGAAGCTTGACATTATTGGATGCTCTGTCAAAGACTTTGTGTACAACTTTCTAGAAATCTGCCAAAAGACAAAGTTATCTGTCACTGCGGTACACACTGATTAAGAGGTTAAGCTATACGAAGAGTTTATGAAAAACCCTTAAAAGCGACGTTCCATAAGCCTCACATCTGGAAAAGCAACACCAAATTTTATATGCTTTGCTAAATTATGGTCAAGTTATTGTAAGGAAGGAAGTAATATATATTACAAGACGTCTAGACATCTTGAATCGTACTAGAATGCATTAGATGATTGACAAAAGTACTATGATGCTGTAAAATTGAATATCGATACAGTACGTCTGGTAAGGTCTGCTTTGATCTCAAAAAGTAGATCCAATGCTTAAATTCCAGCCCATGTACAAATTTCAGCGGATCAAGCTATACAGAGGATAATTCAAAGTAAAACCGTAGCTTTGTTACCTCCTCCACCTCCCTCCAGAGAGCAACATCAACCAATTCTACTCAGAGCACTGCTTCTAGTACCTGTTATTGATCCAAGTATTTCATTTTCTTCAGGTAACTTACAGCAACGAGCACGTAGAACATGTGCTGTTTGTAAAATTGCTGGCTGCAAAGGCGCAAATATGCATAACCGTTGCGCAAACAAGTGTGGCGTTTGTAAACTTGAGAGCCGCAATGGAAGATACAAAGGGCCTACCTGCCAAAATCCCTCTTTTACATAATTTTAAACCTTAGCCATCTGTATTTTTCCTCTA